ACAACCATGTGACTCGCTTCACAACCACAATGCTTCATGTCACACCTGTGGCCAGAAACAGCGCAAAGCTCCCTGAGCAACCATCTTGCTTGCTTGCTTAGCAGCAGAAATTTGGGGCTCCGTTGTGATAGGAAGTTGAGGACCCCCGGCTTTGTTTACCTTGCCCACTCCCAGGAATTCTGGGTAGCTCACAAACTCAAGCACGAAACCCCAGGCGCTGTTCATAAACTTAGGGAAGCTTTACGGCCTGGTTCTGAACTCTGCTCCCCGCTGACCTGATTCCAGGCCATTTCCACCACCACCCTGTTCCCCGAGTCCAGCGGGGTGTGAACTGGGACACAGCACCAGCTCCTCACCCATCCAGCCCGGAGCAGCTGCTGCCTTGCAGCCCCACCCGGCCAGGTAGGTGTGTCCGGTCTTGCCGCTCGACAGGTAACGATGCAACTGGGCCAAACACCTTCCCAGGCCAAGCCCTCGAGCTGATTCAGGATGGATGCTCACCTGCGCTGAAAAGAGCCGGGTTTGGGCCCTTCGCACAACTGCAACCCGTGACCACCATCAAGCCCAACGTTCACGTTGAGAAGTCAGGCATTCGTCAAGCGAGTTTCGCCCCGTTTTACAACTTCTCTTGCTGCAGTGGTTAAGGGCATCGCTGCAGGGGTCGGGGTTAGGCACACGGTTGTTAAGTGAATCCGGCTCCCCCCTCCGTCAACTTGGCTTGCCAGAAGGTCACAAAAGGGGATCAGGTGACCCCGGGAGACCCTGTGACCGTCATAAAGGCGAGTCAGTTGTCAAGCGTGCGAATGTAAACCATGTGACCCTGGGGAGGCGGCAACAGGTGTAAGTGTGTGAAAAATGCTCAGAAATCACTTTTATCAGGGCCGCTGTAACTGAGAAACGGTCGCTAAACGAACTGTTGTAAGTAGAGGATTACCTCTGTTGCAGAAGGGAGCCAGGGAAAAGCCAGAGGAGATTCAAGTAGGAAAATGGAAAACGCTGCCTTTGACTCGGCCCCCGAACTTCAGCTGAAAACCGCCGGAGCGTTGGCGAATTCAATTCCACCCAGAGCATCAAAGCCGTCCTCTGAAGATGGAGATTTATTTCTCTATTTCGATAATTTAGGGAAACACCCATCTTCCATGCCCACACATCCCGAGAACTGGCAGCAGAAGGCCAGGGAGTCTGGTTGGGCACACACATCGCATTAAGCCATAAATCAGGGTTTGCTAACCACAATGACAGTGTTCAAATACCACACTCAGCTGTAATCCAAGAAACAGGGTGTGGAACCAACCACGTTTACTCCCCTAATTCAAGGACAGCAGAGATGCAACTCTCACCATTAAGGCCGCTGCGATGCAGTGCATGAAAGCTGGTGAGCATTTTTAACCAAAGTTTGTGGAGGAAGCATAAGCGCAGGATTTGCATCCACGCGGTAATACATCAGCCACGTATACCCGATCTGGATTATTAACCAATTCTGATACCTTCAAACCCATCTGATCAGGCTAAGCTGCTACTTTGAGAATTTCCATCATCTTCAAAAGTGATCTTTCTAGGCCAATTGCTTTCTTTCACAACATCAAGGCCACCTACAAGTAGAGGCCACCAACATCATCTTGACTTCTAAAAGACTCTGAAGCCTGTTTGACTGTCAGAAACATGCCACAATTAATAACTGAACTGTATTTTATGCTGCTATAACAACAGAATCTTGAAAACCTGACAGCATTCCTCTTAAACCAAAGACAGTTGAGATGGAAATCTTGGTCTGCTTTCTGACACTTTCCCGTATTCCTGGGTCACGTTTTACTAACAATCACTATATATTTTCTTCAAGGTCATTTTTGTACATTTCTCCAATAAGGGGACCACAACTGCCTAGCCACTTGCCGTGGGCAATTAACAGTCCACCAACACAACCTCATTGCTTCCTTAAGAATTGTTGAGCATCTAAACATATGAAGAAGGGTATTTGCAAGGGTATACGCAAGAATTGGGTATTTCTAGTCTAGTGAAAAGAAGGATGAGGGGGGACATGATAGCAGTGTTCCAATATTTGAGGGGCTGACACACAGAAGAGGGGAGTCAAGTATTCTCCAAAGCACCAGAAGGCAGGAAAAGACGTACGGATGGAAACTCATCAAGGAGAGAACCAACCTAGAACTAAGGAGAAATTTCCCAACAGTGCAAACAATTAACCAGCGGAACCACTTCCCTCTAGAAGAGTGGTTCTCAACCTTGACAATTTTAAGGCATGTGGACTTCAATGCTGGCTGTGGAATTCTGGGAGTTGAAGTCCACATGCCTTAAAATTGTCAAGGTTGAGAAACACTGCTCTAGAAGTTGTATTTGTATTTCATCACTGGAGGCTTTTAAAAAGAGACTGGATCTCCACCTGTCTGGAATGGAATAGGGTTTCCTGCTTGAGCAAGGGGTTAGACTAGAAGACCTCCAAGGTCCCTTTCGATTCTGTTATTCTGTTACTGTTCTGTTACTGCTGCCATTTTTGCATATGCTGGTAAGGCAACATAGATCCCTACCAGTTCCCCTCCCTAATCCTCTTTAAGATATCCCCCCCCCCTTTTTTTATTTGGTAAAGCCTTTTCTTCTTTCGAAGCCAATTATAAAATTCAGTTACAAAAAGAATACATGAAATTATGAAAGAAATTACGGAAACTACCTAGTGTATATGTCTGTAGGGCAACTTTTTATATCAAAAAACAGAACAGGACTCACTTTCTGGAGGGAGGATGAGCAAGCAAAAAGAATGATTGCTTTCAAAATTTGGCTGGATGGGACCAGGACGACAAAATATTCCTGGGAAATTGCTTATGGGAAAGAAGGTCAGGAAATGAACTTCTTAAACTAGTGTGTGTCTCAACTTTAGCCACTTTTAAGTGGGGTGGACTTCAACTCCCAGAATCCCCCAGCCAGCCACAGCCACCTCTCTTAAAGTAGCCGAGGTTGAGAAATTCTGTTCTAAGCCGTTGACTCCTAGCGGAGTCACCTGATCCAAAGTGGAGAATATACAGCAAGCCCTGAGCTTCACAATACACACCAACACACACAAACCGTCCGCTGATTACCAAAGAAAACGCAAAGCTTCTTTGCACTGCTCTAAAGGGGCTGGGAAGCCGTCAACAGAAAACAACTCTGCAGCTTTTCTCTCCTTTTTTTATACCTTCCTGATGGCATTTTAAGTTTCATTTATTTCCTTTTTTGATGCAATGTGCTGGAGGGGTGCTTTTAAAGCCGCTTTAACTGCGTGCGTCCTTGCTCGCCTTGGGCACGCTTGGAAGGGAAGAGGCAAAAAATGGAAACAACGAACTTCGAATACTGCTCTGTAACCAGTATCCCCCCCCCCTCGCCCCTCCAGCCATCTGCCTTTTAAACTCCCAAACCCGAAGCCACTTTAAAACCCGGTGCCAGAATCCGCTCACTACACGTGTTAAAGAAGACGATTTATCTACGACTTGTCCAATCCAGCAAGATTCATGCAGAAAAACCGCGATTCCCTTATTATAGGATTCTTTCATCGAGTCTCTTCCAAGTTGACCCTGAAAACACGCGCGGAGGAAAAGGCTGCGCCAGACGAGCGCATTCAAGCTGGGGATGGGGGGGGGGTCTTCTTCTCCCCCCACCCCCTGCGCCGCAGAGATCAGCAACTGGAAGCCCCGCAAGCGAGACAGGACGGCGCAGGATCGCTCGCCACTGCGAGGCACCGCTGCCCATTCATCTTGTGGCGGGGAATTCCCCGGGCGAGCGGACGCGCCAGAGGTTTCCCGGGGGGGGGGCGGATTTCCTGGCGAGGGGGGGGGGCGAGCAAAGCGGTCATGACAGACAGATGCGCTTCCGGGCCGGAGAGCGCGGCGCTTCTCACGAGCCCCCTTCCCCTCCCGGGCTCAGCAAGCGCCTCTTCGCGGGCTCTCTCCGTTGCGACTCCCTTCCCCAAGCCGGGATGCCGACCCCCAAGCGGGACGCCCCTTCCCCAAGCCAAAAGCGGCTCCGACGCGCTCCTTCTTCGGGGCAGCCGGCCAGCATCCCCGGCCGCTTTCCAAGCCGCCCACGCCAGGCGGGGGGGGGGAGCCAGCACCTCTGAGCACGTACAGAGAGCCCCCCCTCCGGATGACGTCAGCCTGCCCTCCCCTTGCCCCCTTCCCTCCACCCCCCCCTCCTCTCCTTCGGTTCGGGAACGTCGCTCCCGGACCCTTCTGGGCTCGGCCAGCCCCGGGAGCTCCGGCAGGGCAAAGCTGCGCGCCCTCCCCGCCCGCCCGCGCCCCCTCCACTCACCCAGGCCGGGGGTCCGGGCAGCCCAGCGGGGGCTCCTCCGCTCCTCCATGGCCGGCGCAACTTTGCCGGGCGCGTCCCGGGCGGAGCGGCAGGGCGCACGGCAGCCCTCTCGGCCTCGCTGCTGGCGGCTGCCTGGCCCGCCCGCCCCACTTCCTGCTTCTGGCGCTGCTGCTGCTGCTGCTGCTGCCGCTGCGCTCCCTTCCCCCGCCCGCCCGCCCGCCGCGGGGCCCGGCCCGAGCCAGCCCAGCTGCTCCTGTTCCGCCAGGAGCTGCGCCGCCGCCACCGGGTGACTCACCGGCTCCAACCGGGCCGCGGGGGCCTGGCCGCCTCCCGCCCCGGGAAGAGCCGGGCACGCAGGGGAGGGAGGGGATCCCCACGCGGGAGGGAGGGAGGGGGGAGGGGAGGGTCTCGTCCTGGGAAGGCAGCCCCGTGGCCAGTGGCCAGGCGGAACGGTGCGGGGGGGCAGGCAGACTGGCAGACGCCGGCCAGTCTCTCTTTTGGGGGGGCGGGCTGAGGGGGCAGTGGGGAGCCGCAGCCGGGCCGAAGCAGCGCTCTGCACCCGCTCAGGAAAGCGCTCCGCACGCCCTCGCCCCCCGCCCGGCCAGGCAGCTTGCAAACTCCAGCCCAGTTCAGTGGTGCCCAGCGGCTGGCGCGCCGTCCCCAAAAGGTGGTCCGTGGCTTGGCCCGGCACATGGCGCACGGCTAACCTGGGTCGGCTGGTTCGTGCTAGCCCAGACCTCGCTGGTGCTCAGAGCCGCTGTTGGCACAACCGCGATCCGCTCAATAAACCCCCCCCCCGTGCTGAAACCCCGCTTTATGGTCTGCCACAACTGGGTTGAAAGGGCAAAGCCAAAAGGGACACAGACGAGGGTGATGGGCGAAACCAGCAAGCAAATTACAGCTGAGGGGGTGGGAGGCATTTCCTGGACACACTCACTCCCCCCTTCCAAAGAGGAACTGAGTTTGGAAGCTCCCCCAAAGTTTAAATCAGAAGCGGGGCGAGGAGAGAAAAAAAGAGGATCTGGGTCTCTGCAAATTTGGATTTATTTTTTTTTAAACAGGCCCTTAGGAAACCCTTATAAAAGCAGCCCCCCCCGCCCCGCAAAGCTGGAGAACATTTCAACAAAGAGGGGCTTCAGTCAGATCAGCCTAGCAGCAGGGTGTCCACACAGATAAGCAGTCCTGGGGGGGGGGAGCTGGGGAGGGGTCCAAGCTTTGCATTTTGGCAAACTTTGCTGGATTATTTACTCAGTGCGCGTGGGCGCCCTCTGGTGGCGGCGCTGAACATTGTAATGCCTCTCAGGACTTGGGAGAAAGGGGGGCCGGACAGCAGCAAAACTCACTTGGAAAAACTTTTGTTGTCTCCCCCCCCCCCGCAAAAAAAAGCTGGTATTCCCCAGATGTTGTGGGAAAATGTTGAGGAAACCAGGTGGGAGGGGAAGCTGGAGCTCTGAGATGGTATAAAAATAAAGCCGAGAAGCCCCATAGAAACTCTCCCTAAAGTCCCATAGAAAGTCTCCCTAATACAGGTAGTCCTCAACTTACAACAGTCACGTTTAGTGACCATTCAGTTACAACCGCACTGAAAAAAGCGACATATGACTGTTTTACCCGCTTATAACCATTGCAGCATCTTCCCCCCCCATGGTCATGTGCTTAAAACTCAGATGCTTGACAACTGATTTGTGTTTATGATGGTTGCAACCTTCTGACCAGCAAACTCAACGGGGAAGCTGGATTCACTTAACAACCATGTGGCTAATTTAACAACTGCAGGGATTCACTGAACAACCGGGGTGAGGAAAGTCTAAAAACGGGACAAAACTCACTTAGCAAATTTCTCGCTAAGCAACATAAAATCTGGGCTTAACTGTGATCGTAAGGCGAGGACCACCTGTAAAGCCGAGAAGCCCCACAGACGGTCTCTCTAATGCGTGCTGGATGGGGAATTCTGGGAGTAGAAGCCTGCCCGTCTTAAAGGTGCCGAAGTTGAAAAAACTCTGCCCTAATATCTTGAAGGCGGCTTGTATCCTGCCGACGGTTAACTTTGTACCTTGGCAAATGGTGAGATCTCCGGGGACATACCGTAGAGAGGTTAAAAATGGAAATTTAAAACAGACGGGCGCCTTTATTCCTTGCTCCTAACACCCACGAAATCATTAGCTTTGTTTGTGCCCGGAGATGGGACAGGGGAAGGGAGGGAGGGGGTGAGCAAATATGCTTTTTCTTTTTTCTTTTTTAAGGAATCCCTGGCCTGCAAATTTGGGAGCTGAATCCTATGCGGCAAAATTACAGAGCAGAGAGCTTTTTCCGGCGGGGGGAAATCTTAAAGTACACATTTTCCCATGCCGACTGCTCCAGATTCCCAGAGGAGCCTCTGGAATCAGACGTCAGCAGTTTTGTTTTCAAGCCGGGACGGAAACGGGGATTTGGGGTGGGTGCAGAGCTCACCCAGAACCCTCCAGCCACTGCACCTGGCCAGCTGCCCTGCAGGCAAAGAGGCTGGGCAAAATCAGATGCCCCCTGGGTAAGTGGCAGGGCTGGCCGGGTGACCCGAAGTCAGAAAATGCAGCCGGCTGAGAAAAACTGGAATGAAGGTCACTCTGGGAAATGAGTGTGATGAGAAGGCAGCAGCAGAATCCTTGCTCCCGGAGGGAGGCGGGGGAATAAAAAGAAAGTATTTTCTGGAAAAGCGCCTGCTGGAATGTGTTTGTTGGTCTTGAACTTCCTGCAGAAAGCCTACCCCCCTCTGCTGCAAGAGGCCAGCGCAGAAACTCCCCGGGGACCCCCCCCCCGTCCATTTGGGGGTCTCCCTCCAAGGATCACCAACGCTTCCAGACAAGAATTTGATTGCGCAATGGGTGGCTTCATTCACAGAATTTTAAGGGGGGGGGAGAGAGAAAAGATCGAGAAGAATTTTCCCTTTGCAGATTCCCTGTGCCATCCCCGGCTTCTCTTGCAACATTTTCCCACAAAGTGGATGGGGGGGAGAGAACAGGAAGAAGGCTGTCGGATGGCTAGCCGTTGTGCATATGCAGGTATTCCTCGACTTACGACTGCAACTGGGCCCAAAATTTACGTTGCTAAGTAAGACTGTGTTTTGCCCCATTTTATGACCTTTCTCGCCACTGTTGTGAAGGGAATCACTTCTTAAGTTAGGAACCCAGTGGATCTGGCTTCCCCTTTGACTTTGCCTGTCGGAAGGTCGCAAAAGGGGATCACGTGACCCTGGGCAGATTGCGACCGTCATAAATAGGAGTCCCTTGCCCAGCGTCTGAGTGATCATGGGGGTGCTGCAATGGCACTTTTTCCAGGAGTCGGTCGACAAGCACCCCAATTCTGATCATGGGACCGTGGGGGGCGTAGCAACAGCTGTAATGCAAGGATTGTGGTAAGCTTCTTTTTTCAGGGCCAACTTTGAACGGTCACTAAACAAACAAGCCGAGGACTTCCTGTCTCTAGTAGTATCCTTCCTTGTCTGAGTGGCAGAGGCTTGGACTTCAGCCGCGCAGCTGCAGGAAGAGTTTCCTGAAGCTAAACACATTCACACGTGCAGGGGACTCATCCGTCCCCATCGAAGCCCAACCCTCTTAAGCCATCTCTTCCCATCTCCTACTTCCCCACTCGCATGGCCCGGAGTCCCAGGGTAGGCAACCGTGGTTCTTTTATGACTTGTGGACTTCAACTCCCAGAATTCCTGAGCCAGCTGTGGTGAGGGGAAAGGGAAAGATTTCCAAGCTGAGCCATGCTGGCTCAAGAATTCTGGGAATTGAAGTCCACAAGTCATGAGGGGGCCATAGTTTGCCCATGCTGGCTCAGGAATTCTGGGATTTGAAGTCCACGAGTCATAAAAGAGCCAAGGTTAAGGAGCCCTGATATAGGGCAGGGGTAGGCAACCTTGGCTCTTTTGTGACTCATGGACTTCAACTCCCAGAATTCCTGAGCCAGCCGTGCTGAGGGGAAAGGGAGAGGTTTCCAAGCTGAGCTATTCTGGCTCAGGAATTCTGGGAGTTGAAGTCCACGAGTCATAAAAGAGCCAAGGTTGCCTACCCCTCACCAAAGCTCCCATCATCCCCAGACATCACGATCACGTGCAAAATTAAAAGTTGTGCTTCAGTGCTGCCTGGAAGGGGCATCACGTTGAAGGAGGATTTACACAATTTTGGGACCTTTCCTTGGCATGAAAAGGACACTGAGATTATCCCACCCCCGCATTACATCTTTACAGAAAGACCAGTCATCAAGTGAGGAACAGCTCCAGACTGAGCCGTTCATATCCTGAGTGAAAAGAGTCCTTCACGTTTGCCCCTTTTATATCTTTTCCTTCCCCCCCCCATTAGAAGCAAGACCACCCCTTTTCCAGTCTGGACGCTGACCCATCCCTGCATCGCATGCGTTGGGCAAGATCTGTTCTCCCACCTAGCATATTTCTCACTGGTGTACATGCACACAAACTTAGGTGGACACCCTCACCTCTCACCTCCCACATACACACACACACACACACACACACACACACACACACACACACACACACACACTGGTGTAGCAATCAGCACAGCACTTACTTGTAGCTGGTGGGGCTGCTTCGTCCACATTCAACGTGGCCCTGCGGTCCAGCCTGGCTCCGTTCCCCACAGCCGTGCCCTCTGCGGTGCCGGGAGGACGCTGGGCCGTCTCGTCTGCCACCCCCGGATTTGCAGAAGAGGCCTCTGAAGGCAGAAAGGGTGCCTAGAGCAAAAGAAGAGAGAGAGAAAGGGGTCAGAGGGCACCATCTGGATCCTAGGGCAGGGGTCCCCAACCTTGGCAACTTTTAAGACCTGTGGACTTCAGCTCCCAGAATTCCCCAGCCAGCATGGCTGGCTGGGGAATTCTGGGAGTTGAAGTCCACAGGTCTTAAAGTTGCCAAGATTGTGGACCCTTGCTCTAGAGGTCATAGCTGAACCTCATTTGAGCTCTCCAAAGAAGGGTAGATGATTTTTTCCCCATGCAGTTGGAAGTGGGAACATGAAGAAGACCCCCTCAGATACAGAGGCTGGAGCTCCTTCCAGCTTGACATGGACCAGAGGCAAACATCACCTGGATCCAGGCCAAGTTCTCAGATCTGGGCAAATGCCATGAAGAACGTCCACCAGGCCACATCTATAAGCCAAATCTTTGTGCTATGTAGGGCCTACTGCGTTCTGGAGACACATGACATGGAATCGGCATGAAGTCCCCAAATTGTCAAAGGAGATAACTGCAAGCAGTACGAGATTAGCAAGCCCAACTGAAAACGTTGAACCGTGTCTCCAGAGACTTTTCACCAGCATCTTTCTAATGGGCAGTCCAGGATGAGACCCCCCCGGGAACCCTCCCCAAAGACCCCTAAACGTAGAAGGAGACAGGACCCCTGTGCAACTGGATCCCAGGGTGGTCTTCTTCTGTTCCAACTCTTCTGCTCAACACCTCCCAGCTTAGACCTCTGCAAGTAGGATCAGCTTGAAGCCTCCTCAGCTCTTTGGTGAGAACTCCCAAGTCCTGATCCACATCACTTCCAGGATCAAAGAGACCAAGGTGTTCCAGGCCAGGTGAACACAATAAACAAAGGTGTGGCCTTCCCAGCTAGTCCTTGTTTCACCTTTCAAAACCACCATGAGTTTGACACAGGTGTCCTTCCTTCCTTTCCAGCAGGAGTTTAGTTGTGTAGGTGGGAATGTGTGCCCACACACGTGAAAAGGTTGGCATTTCACACGGGTATGGGAAACTGAACCTACTCATTTTATTATTTATTTACTAATAAGTACCAATAACTATTGGAGGAGGTGACCGTATTAAGTCATCATCTTAATAAATCCTTAGAAATATTATCCTTCCTTTCCTCTGGGCCATTCTTTCTTCAACCTTGGCTACTTTCAGAGGTGTGGGTTTCAACTCCCAGAATCCTCCTGCTGGCTGGGGGATTCTGGGAAACGGATCTCACCTTGGTCTCCTCCAGGTGAGCTCCTTGTGGTTTCATTTTTCAAAAGAACAAAACAACCAGCCCCCTCCATCCCTTCTCAGAGAGTGCAAAATCTCACCTCCTTGGAGATTCAAACTCCAGCCCTTTGTCTGTCTGCCTGCCTGCCTCTCTCAATGGCTCAGATTTAATCAGGCAAATGCTATGGCCAGGGAGTTCAGGGGCCTGGCTTAGATCAGCCCATGGCTTCTTCTCATTTCTTTGATTCTGCCCCCCCCCCGCCCACTCAGTGACCAAACCTGGCATTTTCACCATTGTTATTGTAGTTCTGGATTACACAATGCCCGGATTTTCATAGTAAAAGGGTGTGTCTTGCAGAAGAAACAAACAAACCGGGAGCCCAGCCTCTGCCTCTGCCTGCCTCCCCTTCTTCACGAAAGGCAATCCAGAGATAACAAACCCAGTGAGCTTTTCCTATATAAGGCAGGACCCGCATGCAAAACTTGTCAGCTGTGGGGTGACAAGGCAAAGCAGGAAGACATGAAAGGGAAACTGGCTCCCTGTCTCCAGTGTTTTGATTTACGACGGCACAGTCCTCTCCGGTTGATAAATAGAAAAGGGTGGGTTTTTTTAATAGCTGATCCAGTTTTTTTTTTTTTTAAAGGATTAGTCCTCTAAAGCCAGAGCCGCTAAATAAGATGAATGCTTTGCGCTGAACGCGGTGGCGGCTGCCGTTGCCACAAAGCTCTTAGGTTCAATGAGGCTCGCAGGCACGCAAAAGCATATAAATCTACCGTTTGCTTCCTGCAATGGCTTAATTTATGGGCTCCATATGGTAATACCTCTCCCGTTTAAAAAAAAAAAAAACACCAAACACCCAGCCCTCCACGGATCCCACAACCTTCAGCATGGCTCTGCCACCTCCCCAGCAAGCAGGAGGCCACCTGGGGAGGGCCCTAAGGGAAACAGGGGGCTGGCTTCCCTGCCACAAAGAGGAGGAGGAGGTGAAACCAGGGCCAAGGAGCACCCCAGATCACCATAGAAAAAAGATGCTGAGACTCTGGAAAGAGTGCAGAGAAGAGCAACAAAGAGGATTAGGGGACTGGTGGCTAAAACATATGAAGGACAGTTGCAGGAATTGGGTAGGTCTAGACCAGGGGTTCTCAACCTTGGCAACTTTAAGACTTGTGGACTTCAATTCCCAGAATTCCTCAGCAAAGCTGGCTGAGGAATTCTGGGAGTTGAAGTCCACAAGTCTTAAAGTTGCCAAGGTTGAGAACCCCTGGTCTAGACTCTAGAACAGTGGTTCTCAACCTGTGGGTCGGGACCCCATTTGGGGTCGAATGACCATTTCACGGGGGTCGCCAAACAACGCAGTCCGCCATTTTTTCCCCCCTTTTCCTTAGCTGTGCTACTCCCTTTTATTCTATTGGCTTTTGAAAGCCAATAGAATAGACTCTCTTGAACAGAGTCTAATTCTATTGGCTTTCAAAAGCCAATAGGAATTGTCCAGGCTGTCTCTGCCCTGCTGAGCCCACCAAAAGCCCCACTCTGCAAATGGTGCTGCTGCACCAGTTGAGTAGTCCTCGACTTACGACCGGTTGAGTAGTCCTCGACTTACGACCGGTTGGGGGTTGCGGCATTAAAAAGGTTGAGAACCACTGGTCTAGACTCTAGTCTAATGAAAAGGAGGACTAGGGGAGACATGATACCACGGTTCCAATATTTGAGGGGATGCCACAAAGAGGAGGGGGGTCAACCTGTTTTCCAAAGCACCTGAAGGCAGGACAAGAAGCAATGGACGGAAACTAACCAAGGAGAAGACCAACCTAGAACTAAGGAGAAATTTCCTGACAGTAAGGACATTTCATCAGTGGAACGGCCTGCCTCCAGAAGTGGTAGGTGCTCCAACACTGGAGGCTGTTAAAAAAGAAACTGGACAACCCTATACTATGTCAGACAAATGGCTCTCCAATCTCTTCTTTAAAACCTCCAGTGTTGGAACACCCACAACTTCTGGAGGCAGGCAATTCCACTGATTAAATGTCCTCACTGTTAGGAAGTTTCTCCTTAATTCCAGGTTGCTTCTCTCCTGGATTAGTTTCCATCTGTTCTTGTCCTGCCTGCAGCTACTTTGGAGAAGCCCCCTGGCAAATAGCCATTGTTCTTTTTTTTTTATATTATTGAGAATTTTTAAAAGTTTTTACAAATAACAAAAAAAGAACAATAACAAACAAACAAAAAAACAAAACAACCCTCACCCAACCCCTCCCAAACCACCCCCTCCATCCCCCCCCCAAGCTTCCCAGAGCTGAATATAGAAATAGCCATTGTTCTTTGCAACCTCTCAGCTAAGGATTAATCCAGGTGCATTTGGAAAATCCAGACCTTTATTCTCTTTCTTCCTGTAGGCCAGTGGTTCTCAACCTTTCTAATGCCGCGACCCCATAATACAGTTCCCCATGTTGTGGTGACCCCCAACCACTTATACATCACTGGGTGCCAGGGGCGTGGCCAAAGAAAAGGGGGAAAAAATGGCGGATTGCGTTGTTTGGCGACCTCCGTGAAATGGTCGTTCGACCCTAAATGGGGTCGCGACCCATAGGTTGAGAACCACTGCAATAGAATAAAAGGGAGGAGCACAGCTAAGGAAAAGGGGGAAAAAAATGGCGGACTGCGTTGTTTGGCGACCCCCGTGAAATGGTCGTTCGACCCCAAATGGGGTCCCGACCCACAGGTGGAGAACCACTGCTGTAGGCTGAGGGGTCTGGATTGATGAGTGTCCATGAAGATGGTGAAGTTAAAGGTCCTGATTTCTTCCGGACAATTCCAAATGCAGTTTCTCAAGAGAACGAGCAAAACCCCTCTTTGGGACAAGGTTGTAAACAACAGCATGGGAAGCCTTCACAACTGGAGCCGAAGACAGTCACAAGATGGAAGGGGGGCTGCTGCAATACCAGCGATCAATCTCCCCCATCTTAAAAACAGAACTATCAAAACTCAGCATCCCAGGAAACTTCAAGCTCATCTCTGCTTCAAAGGAAGCAAAACAAAGCTAAACAGACGTTTCTAGTCCTGAAAATCTGAAGGTGAAAACAAGTCTCCAAGGAAGGGAGACAATTTTTGGTCAAGCTTCAGAGCTTGGAGGAGAGACACACAAAGGGGAGAGGGGTCAGAAGCAAAAACAAAAACCCACTGACTTCAGATCTGCAGAACCAAAGCTTTCCCTAGATGTGCCTTAGATCCAACTGTGTCCGGGGCAGAATTCACCCAGCCCACCCGATCTTCCCTTTTCTTTCAAATGGCAACCAAAGGCTTTGCCGCTACAGGGGTGTTAGAAGGTCATGTAAGGTAAATTCTGGGAGCGACAGAGCTGGTAATGAGTCACTTGCCATTTATTCTTTGAGTTGAGTGGGAAGGAAGGAGGTCTGCTGCCCATTAAGGCCTATGTAACTGGAGTGCAAATTCCCAACTTTTGCTGGAAGGAATTTCTGGGACCTTTTCTTGGGGGGGGGGGGCTAATATTATAATGGCAAGGCAAAGAGAGAGCCAGCTTCATACCAAAGGAGTAACCTATATAGCAGGGATCTTCAAACTTGGCCCTTTTATGACTTGTGGACTTCAACTGCCAGAATTCTGGGAGTTGAAGTCCACAAGTCATAAAAGGGCCAAGTTTGAAGACCCCTGCTCTATACTCTCCAACACACACCAGCCTGCATGCCTTGTAATTAGATGTTCACAGCTGTGAGGCTACAATCTCCCAGGTTCAAAGTGGGTGGCTTGTCTTCTTCTC